GGAGTACAATGCTGTGCACACCAATAGCAATGGAAACAGCATTTCTTAAGCACTGCCTTCAGACCTTCTCCACAGGCCTCTTTCTCTTCCCTTTCTTCCCTGTGCTGGTGTAAAAGAAGGGGATAAACAGCAGCAACCATCTACTTTTAAGTAACAAAGAGGTTGCTGATAGGCTAAGAATGTCAGGGTGCCTGATGAAGTGCTTGGTGTTTGCCAGGGAGAGGTGGGTGATGCACAGAGGATCACATTGGTGCTGTGCATCCAAGTAATCCTGGTACCTTGTTCTTAATTCTGAGCTATTCAGGAGGCCACCAACACAACTCACAGCTGTGAGGTTTTGTTCTTTTTAATTGTATTTAAACTTGTATTTACATTTTTAATTTAAAAAATACAAATAATTTTCACTCCAAAAAATAGAAAGCCTTTTCTACCATGTTTTTAGCATGGTTTCACCCTGGTTAGATTTACGAATCCCTTGAATCAGAAGACTTGCAAATGCCTGACAGAACTGCCTCAGGAAGCGAAGCCAAGGAGATGGAGCACGCAAAGAAAATGGGATGTCAAAAACCAGACATCTCAAAATACTCTCTTGGCAGAGGAAAACTCCTACACAAGTTCTGAACAGACTCTCGGAGATAATGACTGCCTACAACAGGGGATGAGCACTCTGAACAAGGCTGCTTTTGTGTTTCCAAGAGCTGATTTAGAGCTTCAGCCTTATGAGCCACCCACAGCAAAAGCGGTGAGGTCCCCTCCTTCCCACTACTAAATCCAAATGTTAGGTAATGCAAATAAAACCCCCCATTGTTCTACCTGTTTTATGGTCTCTGTCATCTGATATTGCCTTTCTGGTATTTATTTCTCAACCCTGAAGCTTGCAGTGAGCCTTCCTCCCCCTCTCTGGCAGTGTGAATGCGATCTGTCCTGCAGCGTGGAAAAAGTGCATGGAGAAAATGGAAATATGGAGAAAAGCCTAAAATTATTCATTCTTCATGGGTCCAGTGGGACTGATGGAGTTTCGGTGCAGCTAGTAGTGCAGTCTGCTGGTTTTCCTGGTTTTGACAGCTAATAGTGGATCTGAAGGTTAATTATAGTTAACTGCTTTTCATTTGTCCAGCAGAGTATGCAGCATCAGAATGCAAAATCAGTCCTACTAAACTTGTCCCGATCAGTGACTAGTGTGAAATTATGATCCACTAATTCCTTTATCAAAAAAGGTAAAAGATAATTTTACAAAATATTACACAATAATTCTATGATTCTATGATTCTAATTTACATAACAAAAGATAAACAATAATGAATTATGTCATTAACCAAAAGTAAACTATTTTACAAAATAAAAACATTTTTACTCACATTGAAATTAATTTATTTACAGCATTCTGTGCCTTACATCCATAAATACCAATACCTTCAGTCAGAAAATAATATATTACACCAATCTTGTCATATGCTTTAATAACATCACCATTATCTCTACTATGACAATGTTAGAAAGAAAGCAGAGAACAAGATCGAGAACAGGAGAGTTGGTCCCTGCCCTAGTGAGCTTCTAATGTTGTTTACCATTGATTTGCTTAGGCAGAGAAGGGTGGTTGGCTGCACACTCACGTTGAGTCTGGTTTGATGCTCCCCTGGGATCAACCCTGGAGGAAACTCCTTCCTCAGGCTGTGGAGCCACTGGTCCAGCACATCTGCAGTGACCTTGCCAGATGCTGTTAAACCACCCATGAAGCAACAACAGCTGGCCACATCTGTGCTGTTCAGTGTGCACCATCCTACCTCGTGATTTCCCCATGTGAGCTCCTGCAGGATGCAGCCTTGCTGCAGCCTCCTGCCTCATGCACCCTCTGACCAGGTCCATCAAGCCCCAGAGGGATGCTGATACTGCAGGCACCTCACCTCCGTGGTGGTTCCCTGCTGTGGGTGGAGCCCAGAGGGATCGAAACAAGCCCTCCAAGTAACTTCAGCTCACTTCAGCACAATGGGTCAGAAGAACAGGGGTTGGGAAATGCCTGGAGTTGGAAAGGGTCACCACTGGCAAGAAGATGGGCAGGAAGGGCCCTGGTACCTGCACACAACAGCTGCCAGAGCACCCACCTCAGGAAGCCACAACTCTGGAGACCTTTGGGTGGATTGCTCTAATCACCTACACATTTTTTTTCCCTCTCCAGATCATATTTTATTATATAAAATAAACTAATTCTGTGTTTAGTTTCAGCATAAGAGATCTGATGCCTCCTGGTTTACAAACAGCTTGTTCTAAACAAGCATAAATGTGAAACTGTATTAAGGAAAAGTAGTGCAACAAAAACAGTTACAAAAAACACTGGCATCTGAGATGGGCATTTTAGGCTCCTTTTATAGTCAGTGGGCAGAAACAGGCTATGATTCATCTCATCCTAAAAATAACTGGCTAGAAGCATGGATAAATTATGCTAAAGGCTTAGGCCTATTCATTCTTCATCTACATTATTGTGCAGCACAGACACGACACAACATTGATTGTATATTCAGTACAGTCATTTCCTTCAAGAGGTACAATAAAAGAGAGTCCCCCCCAAATTAATATGCTTTGCAGGTAGAGGAATGTAGAGTGGGCCTTTCCCTAATGTCAGTGTCTAATGCAAGGGAGGGAATTAGGACTGTCATTTTTACATATTAGCACCATCCTAATTCATATTGTTCTTGCTTAATCTGTCTGGATCTGGCTTCTGCTGTAGCAGGGAGAAGCAGGGGAGCAGGGCTGGGTCTGCTGTCACCTTCTGCTAATACACGTGAGCATGGATTCCTTCCTCCCATCTGGACTTCAATCTCTAGCTATAGATAAAGGACACTAAGGAAACAATGTGCAAAAAGAACATCAAAGCCCAGCTTTACCTTCCTCTTCATTGAAAGCTTTAATGCCCCAAAGCCAAGACAGTGTAAAAGCAGTGACATGAAATAGGCAACAAAACAGATGCTCAATACACAATGCTTCGGCTAAACCATCAAGATTGTAGAGGGGAAACCAGTAAAGAGAGGAAAAAAGATAAAACCTCTCCACCTGCCTGTCCTCGGCCATGTACAGACATTAATTACTACCTTAGGATGCAAATTCATTGCACTTTCCCTTCTGCACTTGCAATAGCCTGCTGAACCTGATGCCCCTACCTAATCCCACCCACTCCTTGTACCCAAGACATTATGGGCTTCATTATAGGTAGCAATATTAGCATGCTGCTACCTGAAGCCTGGTGAACGCCTCCACGGGCTCCTGTGGATGCACTTGTAGGCACACAAGACACCAGACTGGACCACAGGAATGTGTAGCATCATTGTGCTGCATAAAACCCCAGGAAACCATGCTCTGTAATAACAGTGTGCAGGTTAGAGCACTGAGTGAGCTGTTTTCTACTGAATCCAAAATGCCTGAAATCAGATCTCTGAGCTATCTTGGTACAGTTATGGGATGGAACACGCTCACCAGCATCTCTGGCAGGTGCCAGCAGAGTGGATTTTACAATCTGACATTGGAAGTCTGTTCCTTACCTCCTGAAACCAGAATCACTCAAATCTGACAACATCCACAGCCTGCCATTGTGTTAATCTCTGCCACTGAACTTTAACAACAACTGAACAAGCTGAGTTTGGTAAAGAAAGGCTGCTGTTGGTAACACACTTTCTTTCATATTTTAGGTTTCAGGAAGCCTGGATGGGTTCTTGTTTGACACATGAAATCATTATGTTTTAATGGAGGTGAGACACAGGCAGCCCTAGATGAGTCCTTCATTCTTTTTGTTACCCTTAATGCAGTTATCATGAAGAGCTTCAGAATAGAAGACACCAGCTTGCCCTGGTTTCAGTTAGGATAGAGTTAGTGTTATTCCAAGTAGCTGGTACAGTGCTGTGTCTTGGATTTAGGATGAGAATAATGCTGATATCACAGGGATGTTTTAGTTACTGCTGAGCACCACTTACACAAAGCCAAAGCCTTTTCTGCTCCTCACACCACCCCACTAGTGAGGGGGCTGGGGGTGCACATGGAGCTTAGAGGGGACACAGCCGGGACATCTGACCCTGACTGACCAAAGGGGTGCTCCACACCATACGGTGTCTTGTGCATATTCTTGTATCATTATTATTGTATCTATATTATTACCATTATTTTCCTTCCTGTCTTGTGCCATTAAACTGTCATTATCTCAACCCATGAGTTTTCCTTTTTTTCTGATCCTCTTCCCCCATCACACAGCTGTGTGGGGTTCAGCTGCCTGCTGGGCTAAACCACAGCACAGCTACACTGTTAGAGATCTGATGAACAAGTGAAGTGCATTGATCGATACCCACAGAGCAAATGAACCATGTTGTTTGGCTTTGACAGGAACCACTCAGTTTTCAAGAGCCTGCACACTCCAGCTCTCCTCACTGGTGTGACAGAGCAATTTGGCTGCTAGCCCACAAGCAAAGCGTTTCCCAAACAAAGGAAATCAATATTTCTATGTATCCATTCATGGACATACAACCCATTTAGAGTAAAACACTCATGCAGTTAACTGCATATGTGGTTGTCTCCATTTAGGAGCACAGCAATTTAATTACACCAAAAATATTGGAGGCTAGATGGAGATCTGGAAAAAATAAAACCCAGTTGTCAAACCTTTTGATCTCGGTCTCTTTGGGTGTGTTCTAAGGAAAACAGGCTGTCAGTGAGCAACAGTCTGATTATTTGTTCCTTGTCTGACTCCAGGAAGGGCACTGGAACAAAGGACCCAGTGTTCAGGTGAGCCCTGGTCTTGGGTGAGAGCCACCTGGCAATGCCTCGGTGCAGTGAGGACTGAGGTAACAACCTACCTCATCTCTGGAAAGGAACCAGAACCAAAAGTGACAGTTTATCCATGTACCCAACTGACAGGATTCAGCTGCCACCTGTAATAGAAGTACATAACAAACCAGAAGTATTATGATAGCCTGACCTGCTCATGGAGAAAGAGGAGTGTTGGGTGTACCTGGGCATTCGTCCAAACATGCCTTTTTCTATGCAGGCTTTGTCTCCGTTATCTGTGTTTATCTTACATTAGGACTGGATCACAGCAACAGAAGGTAATACACAGCCAGGCTAGAAAACTGATCTCAAATAAGGACAATGGTATGAAAACCGAGTCAACTGAGATCTGGGGTGGTCTCCGACCTTTTCCCAAGCTGACCCCATGGGTCTGAATTTCACTTCTGTAATTGAATTGCAAGTGTGTCTTCGACCCCTCTGTTCCAGGAGACACCGACCGTTTCAAGTCATGGATAAAATCCAAGATGCTGATTTCAATTCAATATGCCTTTGGGACCTGGTATGAGCTACCAAAGAGCCTGTGAGTCTTCTTGTTTAATGCTGTCTTATTTAAGTAGCAGTAGTAACTTTTGAGCTAGAAGACCACCCTTCCTATAAAAGAACATTTCTAGCTATGTACATGAATTACTCTTCAGGGCAGTTTTATCTCTAAAGCTGGGCTAAGGATTAGAGAAAGTTGTTATTTACTTTGTCAAGTTTCTTCTTTTCACTTTAACCCATTATTTTGAGGTTTTACTCTGGATACTCATCTATTGGAGAGCAAATTAATTCCCTATTAAACTTGAAAATAATAGAAGCAGCATCTTCAGAGATCAATAAAATCACTTCGTTTCACCCAAAATACATAGCAGTCTGGCCAAGAATGTGTGATGATGGCTCCCAGCATCACTGAGCAGCTCGCTGCATCACCGCTTGCTCCAAGAAGCAATGGTCCACTGGTCAGATCCACCTCCTCTTCCCCATGGTCATGAAGATCATATGTGCTTTTCCATGTGCTGACACAGACACATTCTCCATTGCTAGAGTGTGTCCCTGGGTGGCAAAGGAAACATAGCAGATGATGAGCAGAGCATCAGGTCATTGAAAATGCTGGTGCATCCCCTGAAAATCAGAACACAATGAGACATGACCAACTGACACCTCTTGTTCATGCAGGGTGTGCCTAAGTAGCGAGGAATAGAAGCCGGGGACTATGGGCTTCTCTGGCACTTTGAGCTTTTTTTGCTTCATTAGTTTGAAGGAAAATTCCGTAAAATTCTGCTGATAACCTATGCTGACACGTATTACTTCAGTTAAGAATCAGCTTGAGGTATTGAAAGAAAAGCTGCCCTTTAGCTTACTTTACAGCCCAGAGTCCCACAGGGTTGTACTTGTGATGTTAAGTACTTTGATTACATTTTTCATTTGATTCAAAGTTTACCCAAAACACCTTGTCCTCTGTACGTCATCCCACCGGAAAACAGCAGAACAAGTGGTTTTACTATTTGCATTCTGCAGTACCCGTTTCTTGACACAGCCAAGGTCCTTGTATTGCAGACCCATCTGAAATGCCATCCATGAGGTCATGCTCACTGCAAACAATGGCACACAGGGCAGTATTATTTCCTGCAGCCCCTGCTCTGTTTGTGTTGTTACTTGCACGATTGCACAGATCAAAGGGATGCAAAGCACTGGGAGTACCTAAACATATTACTGCATATTACAATATAAACTGTGTGATTGGAAAGAACAGTTTGACTTAATTCACTTTCTGCTGCTTTCAGAACAAACAGCACATCGGTGTGGTCCCTCTAGTTAGTTAGACTTGGCGCAGTCCTATTGCTGTGTCCACCAAGATGATTTCTGTGGCCCTTAGTGACATGGTTTAGTGGTGGACTTGGCATGGTTGGCCTCGATGATCTTGAAGGTCTTTTCCAACCTGGTTGCTTCTATGATTCTTCTGCAGCATTTCCATGTAGAATGTATGTCCATACACTCTCATGGCTTGAAGAAAATGAATTCAACAACAAGCACATAGCACGAGTTGCCTTTTGAGGAGACAATGAATATCTAGAGAAATATCTAGAATACTGTCCTAAGAGTCAAAGTCAGGAAAGATGCCATGGCTGGTCACGGGACTTTGAAACCCCTCAGGTAGCTCTCCCATGTTTTATATCAGACTTCGTGGAGGCTGAAGCATAGACAACTTCCTGTGACATCTTCACTAAAGCCATAGATTCTTTTAGCTTAATGCTAATGCTGAGTTTTCATCACACACACCAAGTAACCTGAGATGTAACTGAACTTACTTTCTTTTAGTAGAATAGAGAAATACATGTAAAATCAGATGATTGGCAGCCCTGGAAATTTATAGACTGCCTCGCTGGTGTTTCTTATCCTGCTCCAGTAAAACCAGACCAGCAAGATGCCACCAAAACAAATGGATACTTTTCCTTTGATCCATCAGTAACTTTTCAGAAGGATCAATACAGAAGGCTTTAATGTGCTCTAAACACTCTGCCTCCTGAAAGTAGCCTAAGATCAAGGAGATCACTCATGAGCAAGCAGACAGGAGACAGCCTAAACGATAGTCTTCCTGAGGTATTTCATGCCTCATAAAGGATGTATCTAGAGATACTCATGCTAATGTTTGGTTTGTGGGGCCAAGATATGATCTGCCATTGTACCCACCACTTTTCGGTGCACAGCCAGCATACCCACAAGTATTCAGACAGGCTGCAAGACGTAAGAGCATAAGGATGCCCAGGAGGAGCAAGCACCTCACGGAACTGAACAGTACAGTCAGGTCCATCTCTGCATCCTCTAGATAGATGTGAGCATGAGATCTGAGCCATCAGCACTCCCACACAGAGCTCACTGCACCCTCTGGGCGTTATGCATCTGCGAGAAGAAAGTGATTATAACAGATTATAACAGTCCAGATCCCTTTGCAGTTAAGCAGGATCAAGCAGGTGAATAAGTTATGGGAAGAGGCAACAGATGAGGGAGCGCTCTGAGGCAGCCAAGGATCAAACCTAAATTAGTGCAGAAGCAGCTGTTCAGAAAAAAAGTAGCTGAGATCTCTCCATCTCCATTCCTGCTGTTATCAATATTGTAGCCAATTTCGGTTTAAAGGGTAAGTTTTATTAAACTGAGTAAGCGATAGCAGATAAAACAGCGCTGGGTGCGCCAGGGAGTCCTCCCCTCCGCCCAAGTCGCGCACACGCGGTCCCTGGGAGGTGGTCCTTTCTTTTTCGGTTCAAGGCCCCAGCCAATCCTGTCGCCCCTCCTCACCCGGATGTTGACATGGCTCTTCCCCATTGGTTCCCTTTGTTGCAGGGGTCTCATTACCGAGAAGTTTCGGGAAGTTTCGAGAAGCTCCCAGAGGCTTCGAGAAGCGTCCACTGGAGCCTCCTCACCGTCGCAGCCCCCTCCCCTCCCCTCAAGCGTTGCAACAAGACACCACTTTGAGCCACCCAGCCCCCTTTTCTCTCTCACAGTCCTGTGCAACAATACAACTGACCTCCCCCCTCTTACTTACAGAGTACAACAGTTACAGAGTCAAAAGGAGTATTGTTTCACGTAACGACAGCCACAGAGAGCCTCCCTCCCCCCAAACTTCTTGATGAACAAACCCCACACATTGCACCTGCTACTGTCACATTATACAGTATATTATGGGAACATTACAGAGCAAATATGCAGTTTCTTCAATCTGCCGTTTAGGAACACCTGCCTTCTAGAAGCGCCTCTACTCTTTGGGTGTGATTAGCTTTGGTTAAGGCAAGGAGATACACTACTCATCTAACTTTTCATCTCACATTCCTTCTGTTTCCAGTCACTTGGTAACTCCCCAGCCTGGCTATCCACAATCCCAAAAGGACACGGAAACAGAGGAGCACATACTCTGTTGAGTATCCCAACCTGCCAGACCAGACTAACCTGCCCAAGCAGCTGAGCTGGTAAGAGGTAAATGAGAGCAAGATGGGGAAGATGGCCCACAGCAGAACTGTAACAGGTAAGTGCAAAGGGAGACACATCAATCACTAGAGCAATAGGAAGAGACAAAACATTTCAAACCGCATGAAGTCTATCTAAAGGCTTAAATAACATGTCTAGCTGCCCCACAGCCAGCAGACACTGCTTAAAGAGTCCATACCTTAGCCAGCTAGAGAGGTTTGACAGTTGTTGAGAGCTTGTAGAATTAAAAGACCATTGGCTATACAAAAAGGTTGGTTAAACTCACTTCTGCCCTTGAGGCATATTGGGAAGAGGATTTTTCCCACAGTATGTCACAAGTCAGTAATCAGTGCAAGGAAAGAAGCCTGTGCCTTGTGCATCCATAAAAGGGAGGAGCAAGATTCATCTTTCTTCTGAAATACTTGAGATGAACCTTAACTTGCTGTTCGTGCCCTGATGGTCCTACTGATGATACCCAATCTCATGGCTGAGTGGATCACACATCTTGCTTGCATGCTCTGGATAAAATTACTCCCAGATGTGAGATCCAAAAGGAATTTCCCTCCCAGGCCCTGACCTGGTCAGGTCACCAGGGCTGCTTGTCAGCTTCCCAGGCTCCTGCAAGCTTTGCATCTAACACATTTCTTTTACAGCCTTGGTGATGTCCTTGCTCTGTCCTGCTCTCTTCCAGCTGCTGCATACGGGAAAAAGCTTATGGGGCTTTTTCAGCTTGTTTCTGCAGGTTTGAGGCATGGGAACATTCTGATGCCATGAAAAAGTCTGCGCCTGTGATCAAAAGGGTCTCCTCTTGTGTTTCGTTGTGAAGTTCTTTGCATTCGTCAAATTCTTTAGGCAATGGTGTTCAAAACAGTACTTCAGCAGCTTAAAGAAAAATACCTTTGGTGGTGACATTTATCTTCTCCATCTCACACATGGAGTCAAACCCAGGTCTGCCACTCATTCATGCTACTGCAGTGATGGTACCCTTGCAAGCTGCTCGAGGATGACCTAAGCCAGTGGCCCAGAAGGGATCAAAGATGTCCCAAGCTTCAGCATCTGCCCATGCACTGTGTGGATAGAAATAGGGACCAGAATCCTCCCATTACCCTGTCTACCTGTCCTGGTGCTGCCCTCCAGCAAAGAACAGGCACAGGGTACATCTGTGAAGCCCTGTACAATGTATGCTGCAAGGGCTGGGCAGGATTGAATGGGGTAAGACGACAGAGTATTGTGGTGTGCATTAGACTTTGGACCACTCCTGACAAACACCAGTCATTAATGGTACTCCAGTATTGTTTCTCAGTGATCCGCAACTCACCATGAAGCAGAGCTGTAAGAACATGGGTCCTCCGCACTCCTTGTCTGTGAGCAGGAGGCCAGATTTCCTCTCTTCTGCATCAGCAGGCGCAACAAAACAATCTGTTTACTACGAACTCACCAGCTCCTGTGGATTATTCCTCACTTCATTAATTTCCTAATTATGAGAAACAGAAACGACTGCACTGTAATGACAAACTACAATGCAACTTCAGGCAAAGAGTCTGAAGGGAAAATTAAATACCAAAGGAATGGTTAGTTCTATAAACCTAGTTATTTCTTCAGTGTGGCTTTCTGAAGACGTAAGTTATCAGTACATAATGTTCCAAGCATGAAATGAAGCACCTCAGGAGGTAAAGGTGGGCATGCTGGTTTCCATCACTTGAGAGCCTGACCTTGTATCTCTAGTTATTCATTAACTCCAAAGCAGAAAGATACCTCTGACAGGAGAGGTTACTCACAAAGGGACTGCTGTGGAATCAGTGAAGTTCCAGGAAGTGTCTTTCCTGCTAGGGTTACTATGGAGATAGAACAAAAGAAACAAAACAGACTCTTTGGGGAGTTTTTTCATATTAATTGGGCTCTGCAAGTGAACATTTCAGTTGCTATCCCTGCCCTGGTTATCTTCTCCTTTTCTGATATTATTGATGTAATTGACTGCTTTCTTCTGCTGCTGCTGTGCAACCTGCACCTTCCTGTGCTGAGCATGGCCATCCTTGTCTTCCACTAGCTGTCATTACAAGATATAATGGGTATTTGATTGAAAGCTGAATATTCAGCACAAGGACAAGAATAAAGATATAATTTGTAGGATTCTGTTAATAACTTGACAGGGACTCAGCAGAACACTCACTTTTCAAATTCTGAACAAAGCATGAATTTTAGTGGTTAATTTTATCCATTACTAAAGGCAGATAAAAGCTGAGTGAAACCCTGTTCCCAATGACAGCAGTGCCAGAACTCCTACTGACGTTAAGTGTCAATGATCCCAGATAAACTAGCAATTCTCTAGGTGTGAAAAAGGACTGAAACCAGCCTGTGCCTTCCCTTGCCTTCAGTCATCTTTCTTCCTAAGGTTTAAGAAAGGTGTATGTTGGGAAGCATGATTAGGAAGATCTCTCTTCCTCCTTCCCTTTCCCTTCATTAACCCACTCCACACCTAAGCTCTCTCCTGAGCTCTCATGCTGGCTCTCACAGATCTTCCCCTTCCTTCAGCACTAACAGCATCATCCAGAATGAGGATAAGAAAGGGAGAGAAGATTGCAAGAGAAGAGACAGAGGAGCTGGTGGTAACCTTGTTCTCTTTCAGTCATGCAGGGGCAGAGGTAGAAACAACAGATAAACCCAGGATGCACGCAGCTGATTGCAGCTGTGTCTGCCTGGAGTATCTCTGCAAAACAGATGTGCCCTTGCAAAAGTGAGGATGAGTCCCAGAGGACCTGCCAGTGAAGCCTTGCAGAAACCAAGTCCCAATGCTTCAGACCAGCCCTATACTCACAAATAACTTGTTCACACCTACAGAGGAAACTTCCACAACAAAAACCTTCTGGTCCTTAGCTCAGTGCTATAAATCCACAAACTTCCTTTTCTCAGTTACACCAGTGAAATGTACTTTTTAAACTCTTGTCATTATTATAAAGTACTTTTGTAAAATGGCAGATTACATTTAATACCTGCATTTAACAATACAATCTGGGTTTGACACAGTGGCAGCACAACGGAATAAAATGCTACTCTGAAGAAGGGTAATTCAGGCTTTAGCTTGTCTCCAAAGGTTCACTGCAGAAAACATTCCTCATCACAGCTACTGTAACAGACAGGGTGGAGAACCTATGTTTTTTTTTCACTAAAGCCATGATGTGTAAAGCCTGATGGTGCTTTATCAGAGCCTGAGCCCAGCACGAATTCTGCTTTGATTAACGTTAACTCATTTTTTTCACTGCAACACACACACTGAATGAAGTCTTTGTGTTCATACTCCATCTCTACGATTCTATCATTGTGAGATAATATAGCAGTGGGAATCTTCTGGGATACCTGATAAAATAGTCTTCACCAATAAATAGAAAACTCACAGCATAAAGTCTCAGCTTTAAAATCTGATGAGAAGTTTCACTGCAGGATGGCATCTCAGACAAAGTATTACTATAAAACATTCTTCTCTAGTTTCCCTTCAGCCTCTACTTGCATTTATCCCGACTACTGCAAAATACGATCAAAATTCTCAGCAAACATCCATATATTCACTTTTCCCTTCTTAGCTCTGCTTCTCCAAAGTGAGAAGCTCTTCTCTCCAGAGTGGAAAGCCATGAGAGCCACTGGGCTGTGCACGTTTGAGGAGCAACATGTGAATGACAGGGAAGTGAAATTAGCAATAAGCCAAGCAAAATGTAGGTTTGGGGCTGGAAAGGAAATAAACATGTTCAGAGCTCTGCCTTAATCTCAAGAGGCCATTCCTATTCAGAAACAGATGGAAGCATGAGCACAAGCATGATTCTGAGCCTATGTTCTCTCGTTTTACTTCGGACTGGAGTCAGAATTTCCAAGAAAGTTCTCTTTGTTCACAGTTAAGCATTAAAAATGGAAATCCATACTTTCCTGCAATTGCAAGCCTTTTTCTCTTATTACTTTTATTTTGGCATCATTTTTCCATTTTAAATCCAACTTCATCTTTTAGGACAATTATTTTTCTGTATCTCATGCAGTCCTGTTGTGCTTGCTTCAACAAATTGATCAGCTTTAATACTACACTAAGTAGGTTATTTGGCAGCATTACAAATGCACCAAATCTGATTATATTCACAATCTGATAATCTACACTCTCCATGTGCAATCATGTTTCTGCCTTCTGCTCACAAACAACACGGCCAATTTCCAGTCATAGGCACTCCTGTGATGAGGGTCTCAGAGCCAGAATATCCCACAGCATGGGCATTGATAGTGATCTGTTTCTTCCTGGACTGAGCTTCCCGTTATCCAAAATAGCTACAGCATCTTCCACACATTTGAGGATGCAAATGCAGAATTGTCTTCCATAATGCATGCAACCAACCCGTGGGCTGATTATGTTCAGAAGACAGTTTAATAAATAGAGAGAAAACCAAATTTCAAATTTTGGACCATCTTGTGATAGTTATTAAAAAGATACTATTAAAATATTGAGCACTACAGAAATAAAGCTCCATTTTAACCCTGTTTGCAAAATTTAAACCCATGCAGTTGTAATTCCAAGGACCTAAAATCACTGAAGGACTTTAGAGAAGTATTTACTCCTTAAGGGAAAATTTTTCCAATCCAAAAGGACTCAACAGCTTCAGGATGCTTCCTGAACACATTGAGCACCTTACCACCAACACTGCAAAACCCCTGCAGTTCTCAAAGCACTTCTCAAAAATAGGCTTTGTTTTCTCCCCTCACATATTCTTTGGGGTGAGAGTCTCAGGAATAACTGCTACTGTGCCAAATTTAGGCTTAAGTAATTAGCTCAAGAGCATAAAGCAAAACAGCTGCGGAATGCAGAACACACATAGGTACTCTGGCCCTAAGTATTGGTTTTAAACTGACCATACAGAAGAAAATACAGTTATACAGATCATAATTGTTAAACCAAGTTGGCTACAAGCTACACCTGAGTTATTCAAATAATTACCTTTTTTAGTGATTACAAATAGGCTTTTCTATTTGGATCCTGATATATCTTTAGTTAAACACCACCTAAATCCATGTTAACTCACTGTGTTCTCATCAACAGGTTTTAGACTGAGCCAGCTCTATGCTCCCTAAACAGAACTGTTTACACTCTTAAAACAAGTACATTCTGTATGACTGTTGGAAAGAGAGCTGTGCAACTGAGTTCAACCAGGTGTAACTCACTTTTTAAGGTCACCAAAGAAGCTTGAACAAATGGCACCCAGTGCTTGGCACCAGTTTCCCATATCCGAGTTCAATCACATCTGGAAAAACGGAAAAAAGCTGTTCCCCCATTCAGGCATGAGTAAGCAAGCAGTCAGGTTAAGCTCTACTCACCAAAGCTAAACACAGCGGGGATACAACATCAATCACCTGAGGGGGGGGAAGAGAGGACTGTAGCACTTACTCAATCCACAACATGTAGATGAGGCCCTTAGTGACATGGTTTAGTGGTGGACTTGTCAGTCCTGGGGTAAAGGTTGGACTTGATGATCTTAAAGGTCTTTTCCAACCGAGCTGATTCTATGGTTTTATGATCCTGGCTGGGCAGGAAATTTCAGGACTGCTGGAATTTCTCAGTACTATGCACCAAGCAGTGCAGAAGATGAGTAAAGAAAGAGGTACACAATCACCCATGCTGCAGGCGGTGTTAACTAAAGCTAAGGGAAAAGAAGTTTTGGGCCCTACCTGCTGAACATCAATATAAACACAATCTCAATTCCACGATGAAATTTAAGGATGGCAAAAATAAATGCAACCACAGCCAGACTCTCTGTAGGTCAAGAGACAGTTTGGTTTTGGGTTTGGTTCGAAATGACGTTTTTCCAGCAGACATCCAACTTCAATAAATGCTCCTTTTCATACGGAAAATACCTCAGCGCAGCCTCTCCTATGAAAATATTTTTCTCCTGGCACAACCAGGTTTCATTCCTAACCTCAGATGGTCTCGATACTTTGAGAACAATCAGCCACTTCTACTGATCAAAAAAACATGAAAAGAAATTCATTCTCTTTCAAAAGCAGCTTTCTACAGCTTTTGCAACACAGAAAACAAAATAAGGTCATTTTGAGCTGCTTCCTTGAATTTTATTGAGTGTCAAACTGAATAATTAATACAAAGTTACTTCATTCTATGAAGATTAAGAGACATTACAGTATAAAATTCCCTGAGATACAACATGTAACTTGAAGGATCATGTGCTTCTCTGTTCCACTTCCACCACAATCAAAAAGGAATACCATTTCTTCACCTTATAAAAAACAGAAGGTGATCATCTTCCTTTCTCTCCCTCCACCACAATACTTTAAGGCATGGAAAAACACCCACTTTTAAAAAATGTATTCAAAATGTTTTTTTTTACTTAAAACATAAAATCACTTTACTTAATTTTTACAGACGGATTATATATATCCTTCAATACCTTGTGGAGCCTGGTACCTTATCTACAATCCAATTTGCTCAGGCAAACTTTTTATTCATCACTGTACTTGAGCAATATAAAGTAAATGACAAAAGCCAGCCCTTAGTTTATGAGTACACTATTAGCCAGTGGAGTGGGTGAGCCAGAAACCAAAGTAGATTTATAGAGATGCTGTATTACTGACTTATAAGCAGCTGCAAGGGCTGAATGTCTAAAGGGAAAAATGTGCAATGGTCACACAAGGCTGATGAAACAAGAGGTTTCTTCTCTCCCAGCACAATTGCTCTGCAATAATTATTACAGGACTGCAGTCTTCATTATACAATTCCTGAAATTACTCAATGCAGCACATACAAATACAGCACAGTTGAGACCACCTTATTCAAACACAATGCTTTAATTATTGCATAGCTCTTTTCTGAATGTTACAAACCTCGAGTTCATCAAAGATTTCAAATGGTTTTCTTAGAGAGGAGGAGGAAAAAAGCATGGGTTGTGATCTCTGGAAATTCCCATGCTCCCATGCTCCTGGAGCTTGCTCTCCTGCCTGAGGCATTGCTAATGATTACACAGAACTGTGTGCCTGGAAACTTTCAGAAAATGCTTAAAGATTTAGGAGGACTGGAAAAAATGCACTAGTTTCAGCAGACTGGTGCAAAGTAGTGTGATCTTCAGTATCAGCTCACTTTTAAAACCTGGGTTTTGTATACTTTATGTGAACTGCCCATGGCAGGGGATTGGAACTGGATGATTTCAAGGTCCTTTCCAACCCAAACCATTCTATAATTCTATAAACTGTGATAAAAACTGAACAGTATAACAGGGTAAATCAAACGCAGACAGATTCTCTGATCCCGACACTCAGCTATTACTGTTGACGCTACACTTAAATCACACTTTTTATATTATCAGAACCAATCTTATGGGAGTAGTAACCACTGTTAGAGAAACAGATGAACATGCAATGAAGAATATGCTTTTGCTTTAATCACTTAAGACCTGTTCAAGTGAAAATGCAGCACCAGGGACCATCCCTGCTACACTCCACATCATGCTGTCTTAATTCTATCCCAATCAAATTTCTACAGTGAATCTGCCATTAACAACAGAAAGGTTCACAAAGTACTTTCAGCCATCCTTCCTTCCGCAAAAGCAGATGGAGTAAGCATAGAAGCCAGCGAGATCTGATCTGGTAAATCTGTGCAAATTATTAATGAACTTCATTTTTATTAGGGGGCTTGAGGCTTTGCTAGGTTTGGGCTTTTTTTTCTTTTCAGTAATCCTTGGTTCCATGCTTACCTAATCAAGGGGAACATCTAATTTAAAATAAATTACAGTAAGCTGCTATCTCATAAAAGCACCTATCCAACATCCCTTACTGCTTAAGGCAAATGTAATCCTGTTCTAACTTAAATATGACTCACAAATGCCAGTAAACTCACCTGTTCTGATGCACTCCTTGTGCTTGTAACCAACCTTCTTTTCCCACCTGTTCTGTGCCCATGATTTTACTCAGAGTGAAGTCTCTGGATAACTCCATGGATTATCCAGCTCCTTAAATAGGAGCTGGACAAATTCCATAGTCCTTTGTGCAGGACTTTTGTGGGCTATCATTTTTTGTCACCAAACATTACAATTGCGATGCGCAGGGAAGGCTAAGCTTCCTGAGGAACTGTAATCGCAACTGAAGTTTCTCTCTGGATGTCATCAAGCAAGATTATATATAACCAAAAAGTAACCATATACCTACTACCAGGAAGACTCCAGCAAAATGTCAGAGTCTGAAAGGGAATAATCACCATCAATGTTCCCTGTAGGTATTGACAGAAGGAAGTTTTGCCTAAGGAACCTATTTATTAATTAAAAAAACTGAGCCAGAAAAAAACCTCAAAACCAAAGGAAAACAAGTAGTGAATCGTTCCCTTTGGATACTCTTTCCTCACACAATCTGTATTATACCAACAGTCTAGATATTATTCTCTACAGTAATTTTCTTTTCAAAAGGCAGTGATTTGGGACTGGAGGATTCTGGGGAGGGTTTGGTAACTATTATTGTACAAACAGCAAAGAAGCACTCTGAGTAGTCTGTCACCTGGCAGAATTGATACAAATGCGTGCCATCAACCAAAACACTCGCAACACACCAGGACTGTCTACTGATACTGGAGAAATAACTTAGCCTTTCTGTACACATACTCAGTATAGTACTAAAACTCCCATGGTTCTGAGCCTTTCCCTGCTTTTTCCTATATGGCAGTAATTTTGCAGGGAAAAACGCAGATTCCTGTAAACATTTTCTAATTCCTGAATAAAGGAATGGTTGGAAATGTTCTGACTCTTTCTATAGTCTATCATGTCCTGTACTTAAGGTTCTTCTCCACTTTCATACAGGATAAATGCGCCTATGTTTTGGGTAGGCAGTGGAAGAAACACTAC